GCACAGACGCACCTGGCGCAGTCGGTCCACCACTGAGGCCTACCAGATGGGTCATAAGCACTTCATCGAACCGAAGTTCATCAGTGCCTCGCCACCTGTCATTCTCTGTCGCTGCAGATCGGGTATTTATCAATCAGGAATGGGCGCACACCGATCTATTGGCTTCACAAAGCAAACAAGCTCCGTATGTGTGGCAGAGATCACGAACAGGCAACCAATTACCAGGCCGAAGTCGGCCAAGTCATAATAGCAGCGAAAAGGGACGACAGAGAATGCGGGTAGATTGATACAGCACTGTTTCGGGCTTATTCTGCCTTCATTCAGCCAATCATAACCCTGACCACCGGCAGCTGACACTAGAAACACAAACATGCACACAGACGCACCTGGCGCAGTCGGTCCACCACTGAGGCCTACCAGATGGGTCATAAGCACTTCATCGAACCGAAGTTCATCAGTGCCTCGCCACCTGTCATTCTCTGTCGCTGCAGATCGGATATTTATCAATCAGATGCAGATTTTGCCTACATCGTCTAAAATTTGCATGTAAATTTATTTTTACTTGCTTTGATGGGACCCCGACGGGTCTTAAATAAAATAATTGAATTGAATTGAATTGAATGGATGGTAACATCACAACATCTGCGGGAAGGGCATTCCATGGTTTGACCACACTAACAGAGAAGGAGAACTTCCGTACATCCAACCTTGCATGCTGAGTGCGCAGTTTTAACGGGTGACCTCGGAGGTTGGTTGTGGTAGCAAATTCAAAAATGTCTTCGAAGGCCAGACTGCAATCCAACCCCTTAACAATGCGGAAGGCTTGCAAGAGATCCCCGCGAAGTTGCCTGTAACTCAAAGGAAAGGGGTTCAGATTTACTAGGCGAGTTGCATAAGGAATGGAACTTTGACCCCTAACCATCTTCGTGGCTCTCCTCTGGACCCTTTCGAGGCAGTTTTGATCCTCAACAGCCCACGGCCTCCAAGCTTGTATGCCGTACTCTAAATGCGGCCGGACAAATGTTCCGAATGTCTTTGATAAAGCATCTTCGTCCAAGTCCATAAACGCACGCTTGATGGAGTACAGTACCGACATTGCGGTTTTTGCCACTTTCGAACAGTGGGCGGATGGCTTTAGAGAACTGGTCGTCAGCAAACCGAGGTCTTTTTGGGCTTCGACCTCTTTTAAGGCTGCACCGCCCAGAAAGTAGTTTCTTGTGCTGGCGGATCTGGCTGTGTGGCCTAGGCGAAGTATGCTACATTTGGCAACGTTGAACCGCAGGAGCGAACAGTTTGATCACTCCTCCAACCGATTCAGGTTCATCTGCAGTCTGTCTTCGTCGACAGGACCCCCGAATTACACTCCATATCTTCATGTCGTCAGCAAACATTGCTACTTCGCAGTCTAAAGCTCTTGTGGCATCGTCCACGTAGATAAGGAGCAAAATGGGTCCCAGTACTGAACCCTGGAGGCACCACTCTCGACAATAGCAGAGTCTGCTTTTCTCCGACCGATGCACACAACCTGGTGTCGACCCACAAGGAAGTTTTCGATCCATTTAAGGAAGCTGCCGCTGATCCCTATTTTTTAAAGTTTATGTAGGAGCCTCTGGTGTTGCACAGTGTCGAACGCCTTCTGGAAGTCGATGAAGGCTATGTGGACCTCATGCCTGTCGTCGAGAGCTTGGGTCCAACTCTGGATAGATTGCAGCAAGTTTGTCGTGCAGGATCTTCCCTTCCGGAACCCATGTTGGAATTTCGATAGTAGGCCGTGGACTTCCAGGAATTGCATCAGTTCACTCTTTATGATCCTTTCCATCACTTTGCGGAGAATGCATGTCACGCTTATGGGCCTGTAGTTTGTCGTCGCTGCCCTGTTACCTCCTTTGTGTAGCGGAGTAATATGCGCTAGCTTCCAATCGATAGGAAGTGTTCCAGTGTCAAATGACGTTTGAAAGAGCATCGACAAAGGCAGAGAAAGCTCACTGGCAAGTCCCTTGAGAAGCTTTGATGGAAACTTGTGTGGTCCTAATGACTTCGATTCGTTCAATGCCTCCAATTCTCTTCGGACAATGCCTTCTGAGAAGAGTATATCGCTGACTCTTGGGGTCGACAGTCCTTCTGTGGAGGGAGGAATGAATCTTGACTCGTTTGTGTAGACTGATTGGAAAAACTGTGAAAAATACGCAGCTTTATCCCTACTATCAGCAATCTCAACGCCATCAGTAATCCTTATTAAGGGGATTTGATGCCTGTTCCTTGTACTTCGTCGGAGGTAACTGTAGGATAATTTTTGGTTCTGCGTTGCTTTTTGTAGCAAGTTCTTCTCGAATTCCCGTCGCGTTTTCATGATCAGGTTCCTCAGTTTGTTCCTCTGTGTCTTGTAGGTGTTGAAATATTTTACTTGCCCAGTGACGCAGTATTTTCTCCACAATTTGTGCTTCGTGTTGATTTCTTTCTTAAGGTTCCTATTTAGCCACCCAGGGCGTTTATTCGGTCCTACACTAGTCAGTGGGCAGTGGTTGTTGATAAGCTGCAGAAGGACATTCTTGAACAGCTCCCAGTCATCGTTGGCATTTCCCGTAAACAACGAGCCCCAGTCGAGACCGGATAAGTTAGCCCTCATCTGATTGAAGTCGCCTCGCCAAACATTCCGTCTTTTTTGGTCATGAGAATGCGAAATGGAGAATGACGTATAATCCCACATAAGAACCACGTGATCGCTTCGGCCAAGAGGCGGCAAGGAGCTGGAAAAGATGAATATATATTAGGAGTGAGAAACATTCAATTGTAAGTCAGAATTAAAGCTGTCAAAATAATACTGAATCATGTATCATATTGATTCTTGTGAATGTGACATTATAGGATCCTACTCAAGTAGTGGTCCACTGTCTACTATGAGTTAATATAGTTGTAAATATTTTAATATGACTTTAATATAAACTTACGTATAACTAATATGTAGGGATCTATCGGAAGGGATCTTTGAAAAAATTATCGCCATAAAAATTACCGAATTTTGCATAGCCAATCAAGTTATTAGCCCTTCCCAACATGGTTTTTTACCAGATCGCTCTTGTGAAACATGTCATCTGTCGTTTCTCGATCTACTTACCTCTCTTCGTAATGATCACCTATCTGTTGTCGTAATTTATTTTGATCTTAGTAAAGCCTTTGATAAAGTGCCACATAAAAGACTCTTGATTAAATTGGAAGCAATGGGAATTCGCAGTCCACTAATAGACTTTCTCAGGTCTTACCTGTCTAATCGTAAACAAAAGGTTTTGGTGGGATCTTCACTTTCCAGTGAAAGTCCTATTGTGAGCGGTGTCCTACAAGGTACCGTTTTAGGTCCTCTTTTGTTCTTACTTTACATAAATGATATTTCAGCCACAGTTAAACATTCTCAATCATTTATTTATGCCGATGATCTCAAATGTGTATATTCTTTTAAAAAATCTACGAGCCTTCATTGCCTGGAGCAAATCCATGCTGACTTGCTTGCTCTCTCAGCTTGGAGCTCAAAATGGCTAATGGAATTCTCTCCGTCTAAATGTCGTTATATGTGTTTTGGACCTGATAGGCTACCCCAACCTGTGGTCTTTCAAGGAACACCTATGACTGAATGTACCACCATCAAGGATTTAGGTTTAAGCTACACTAGTAATCTTGATCTCTCGCCGCACGCTGACAGAATTACAGCCAAAGCTGCTCAGATTTGTGGCTTTATTTCTTACAATTTCTATCTTCCTGAAATTAAATTAAGGCTCTATCGTATGTTTGTACTTCCCATTCTCGAGTATTGTTGCCCATTCTTTGGTTTGATGAATGAAGCCAGTCGTTTAAAAATTGAAAATGTCCAAAGACGTTTTTCAAAAAAACTTTTAGATAGGGAACATCCCAATATCTCCTACTCAGATAGATGCCAACTAACTAACCTAAAATTTTTATGGGTTCGAAGACTAGAAGCGGGCTTCTGTCTCCTCTTTCGCATTAATCATAGTTCAAATTTTCCTCGGATTTCAGCACTTACCCCTAGTAGTCGCCCATACAATCTTCGCAATTCGTCTCTAATTATACCTCTTCCAGCGTCCTCCACCTCTAAGCGCTCCCTTTTTTTCGCTTCCAGGTATACTTTCCTCTGGAATAACCTTCCAATAAATATAAGATCTTCAGAAAATCTACACACCTTTAAGAGAAGGCTACGCCTTTATCTGAATACTGACTCGATTAAACTTTTATTTTCCTCATCCTTCCCAGACAACTTTTCCTATGACACTGAGAAAGG